TCCCACGTAGTCGACCGCGGTTTGCGTCCTGGACCCAGTGGCTTAAAACTCACGCCAGGCGCGTGTGCGTGCGTGCCCAAGATCCCGAGAGGAGAATGGAGGAGAAGGGATTGCGGCGTGACCATCCCCCCTGGGGGGTGATTTCTCGCTTTCTGTCTCTATGTCTCTCTCTGTCTGTCTGGCGAGCGCACGCGCCCTACAGTGAAAATCTCTCAAAAAAAAAAAAAAAAAAAAACACTCTCTAGAGGAGAATGGTAAAGGAACTGCAGTATGGCCATCCCTGCTGGTGGCGATGATTTCTCGCTTTCCCTCTCTTTCTCTCTCTATCTCTGTCTCTCTCTGGCTAGTGCACATGCCCTATAGCAAAAAAAAAAAAAAAAATAGAAGGAAAGACAGAAAAAAAGAAAAAGGAAAAGAAAAAGAAAACCTTGTGTAATTTCTTTAAAATGAAAGCAGCTCTACACCAAACCAGAACTAGGCTGCAGACCCCAGACAAGCCCTGATCACACAGGAACTGAAGAGAAACATCATGAGGTAAAGTGTTCTGAGCCAGGAGGGAAAGAAAGACTCAACTTCCAAATTCCATCACCACTCATTTCTACTTCCGGCTGCCACTGCTGCCAGTCACTGGTGCGAGTTTCGAGGGAACAATTCTTTCCTGGGAGTAGAGGGAGGGGACAGGAATGACTCACCAGTCTACAATTTTAGGGTAAGTCTGCCCTAAATCACAAAGCTAGAAGGGTTTGAAGGGTTTGAGTCTGCAACATCTGTGGAAAACACCAGGACTCAGAGACAGATTGACTCAAATACAGGGAAAGGGTTCCCCCCTGGCCCAAAGGCCTCAGTGGGGATCCCATGCTGGAGTAAGGGGAGGGGAAGGAACAAGCCAGCATTCCAGTCCAGGTTTCCCTTCCTCCCCGAGTCTCACCAGAAGTGGACCTATCCACAAGCCACCAGCTAAGCTGCAGTGCCTCACCCTGCCTGGGGGCCTGCTGAGTCTTGTCTAAGACAGGTTTTCCAGGGAGAAGGAGATGGGCACCAGCCTTACTCCTCCAGCCCAGCTTTCCCAGTGTCCAGCCTCCAGCCCCCTACCCCAGCAAGGTCAGGCCTTTCATTTGACTTGTCCATCTTGTCTAGCCCTTTCTTCCTCTCTGTCAGCAAGGCCCACAATGAGGAACAGCCCTGGAGGGAGTAGAAGAACATGTGGGCAACCAGCCTATGCTTGGGGCGGGGGAGAAGGGGAGACAGAGGACAGACAAGAAGTCCAAGAAAGAGCTCCTCCTTCTAGACTCTTGCCATGTGGGATGCACCCCCCGCCCAGGCTTCCTTTGCCCTGCCATCCTGGGGACAGCATTCTTTCATCCTCACAAAACCCAAAGGGTATTACAGCTGCCCAGCAACAACCCTTCACATGTCTGCACGCAGCTGTTATCCAGGCTGTTCCTCCAACAGAGTAGGACGAGCATTATCTCTCCTGTTTTATAGGTGAAAAGGCCGAGTTGCTCACATAAGAGGACAAAGCAGAGAGAAAGCTAAGCTAGAGCCAAGGAGGTGTGGGGAACTGGTTCTCATTCCCATTCTCATTTGCACCTGTGGACAGTGGCAAATCTGAGTAAACATGGTCACCTTTGGACACATGCAGAAATGAATGCAGTTTTGTGAGCTTTATTTGTATAGGATGAAAGCATTTGCATATGAAAACACTAACTGCCTGTTGTTGTGGACACTGCAAAGCAGTATCAGGTTAAAGGAAGCCACATGTGTTAATCATATTTCACCCCAAAAAGGTAAAAGAAAAACCTACACAGCGACAGTCCATTTTCGACAGTCCATTTTCGCATCTTCAGACAATTTACATCCAAAAGCAACTGGCTTTGCATTACATTTCCTCCTCCCCCATTTTCTACCCTTTAAAAGAATAAACCTGAGGGGGGCCAGTAGGTGGCATGGTGGTTAAGGATGCTGGACTCCCACGTGGCCAAATGCAGTTTGAGTCCTGGACCCGGTGGCTGGTTTTCTCACTTTCCTTCTCTCTCTCTCTTGCTCTATCCCTCTCTGATCAAAATCTAAATAAATAAATGAATAAAGTTAAATAAATAAAATGATTCTTAAAAAAAAAAGAATAAACCTGAGGCCAGTTCAAGGTTGCAGCTTTTCATCAGAAATAGGGCCCACCCAATCCTCACTTTCCTATACTTCTGTCTTTGTATACTTATTTTTATGTTTATTTCTAATCCACAGACCCCCCCACACACACTGAGAAACTCACGTTCTGCCGAACAGGTCCCAACATGCATCAACCAAATCATGCTCCCCCAGGTCTAGCTTGCTCCTCCATCCCCTGGTGGGTTACTTCCCAGGAGCTACACCTGCCAAACAAATCCAGCATCAACTGGGCTCTCTCTGGACCACTGTTGCTTAGTTTCCTAAAGATACCCCTAAGCTCAAAACGGTGCTCTCACCACCTTTCAGTGTCAGCATGTGATTATTGAGAGGTTATCACAAATGAGTTGGGGGGCCAGCAGCTGGCATGCTGGTTAAGTCTCTGGACTCCCACATGGCTGACAGCAGTTCAAGACTCAAATCTGGCAGCTTGCTTTCTCACTTTCCCTCTTTCTTTCTCTCTCTGGTAAGCAACCCATGCCCTATACCAAGTTAAAAAATAGTAATAAATAAAAAATTTTTAAATAATAAGTTTGGGGGAGGGGAAAAAAGAAGGAAAGAAGGGCGGAGAGGAAGATCGAGGAAGCTTCTAAGTTTGACAAATACTGTCACTGAGAAGAAAAAAAAAACCTCTTATAATTAGAGTCACTGACCCAGAAGAAATTTCTAGGTTGGGGTTGGGGATGGGGGAGGGTATTGGTACAGTGCAAGGATTACCAAAGTAGTATGGAGCACCACACAGAACAGAACCTCAAGATAACTATGGGTGTGTCACTAGCGGTTCTCAGATACAAGCAGAAGTCAAATAGGTGAGGAACAGGAAAAGAAGGGAAACCAAAGAAGAAAATGTAAGAGTCAAAAGGAAGAAGGGTGGTAAGAACATTAGCGGAAGGGCCAGCAGACAGTGCACCTGGATCCCACAGGGCCCACTGAGCAAGTTGGGACTCTGGGATCTGGCAGCTTGAAGAACATGCTGGTGTGTGCACGTGTGTGTGTGTGCATGTGCATGTGTGCCCACAATTTCAACAGGAGAATGGAGAAGGGACTGCAGTGTGGCCACCCCTGGGTGAGGGTGACTTCTCACTTTCTCATTTTCCCTCTCTCTTTCTCTGTCCCTAGCAAGCACATATGCCCTACCACAGCACTAAAAAACAACCTAGTGAAAAACAACAACAAAAAAAGCCTTTTAATTGCCACAGGTGGCCTGCCCTCCTCAGAGAGAACGAGAACCCAGTAGGGGCATGGCTGCAATCTTTTCTCCATTTCTCCAACCCATCAGGATTTGGGCAGGCATGCATGCACACACATTCCCATGTCGGGATTCAAACCATAGCTTTCCGTGTAGGAAGTGGTTCCCAGTGCAGAGCATTTAACCATGACACTTACGGGCCGGCCCCAGAAAAGAAAATGTTTTCAGGAAGGTCAGGCGGCAGATTCTGAAGGAGTATCCTAAGCAGTTCTTGTGCCTGGGATGCCTGAGATGCTGGATCCTGGGTGGAAAGCGGAGTCTGGAGATGGTGGTCACATTCCCAGGTTCCACCCCTGACATTCTTGTCAACCTGGGAAAGTCATTTCCCCTCTTTGGACCTTATCTGTTTCTTTATTTGTACCACAGGGAGAGAATTGGAATCACCTCTGCTCTAGTTCCCCTCAAGGGTATACGATTTTTGCGATAAGCGGAGTCAGTCCATCTGAGGACAGGGAGTCTACTCCCACCTTCAAAAACTAAGCACAATTAATCACCTTCACAAAACACCAGCAGTGGTTGTACACTTCCTAAAACATAAATTGAAGGGGAAAACAGAGAATCAAGCAGAACACACCCTGAACACAACTATCCTCACAAGCACATACACAGAAACTCACAAATCAGACAGGTAAAGGTACAGGTGCTGACACAGGTCGACTGAAGGGCACAAACCAGCCGACCGCACACTCAGCTGATCCCAAACATTTCCAGAGACACAAGCAAGCCCCAGCAGGCGAGCCTCATTGTTTCTCAGGAAAGGGAGTTTACAAAGGAAACAAAAACTCTCACACAGGGCCAGGGGGAGGGCAGAGTTCTGGTTCCGAGCAGAATCCAGCCAACCAGCAGACGCGTCCGCCCCCCCGGGGAATAGTTACTCCGTCAACAACATTTATTAAGGACTCCAGAGGTAGTTACTCCAGAAAGGAACTTGGAACGCTGTGCTCTGAGAAATTTCAGATGTCCATCTCCTTTTCTCTCCAGACTCCACTGCACCTTCCCCTAAGCCACCACTGCAACCCAAAGGTTGAGAGGAGCTAGAGACCCCTTCAGCAAAAGCCAGGGAAAGA